TGTTGTGCTATGTCATGTAGCTTGTAGCAGCCTTGCACAGTTGCACTGCAGCTATCTGTGACAAAATCAGGCAATCTGCTGAGGGAGCCATTCAAGCGGTTACTGAATTTGTTTCAAGAAGAGGGAGTCAGCTTAGTGACAATGATATATCAAGGTACATCAAAGCTTTCTTTCATAGACGGGCTCTAGTCCTTTTTACATTGTTATCTGATAACCTTGCTCCCCTTTCTTCTTTTGGTTTTCTTCTGGCAGGACAACTCAGTCCTTACTCTCGGCAGCAGTTCATATAACTGATAAGAATTTACGTGTCGAAGCTATTGGAGCTGTATCCTTAACTTAATTTTGTTAGCAAATTCGATTTGCCGGTAAATGTGATAATGCTATAAGATAAAACTCACTAGCATTTATATTGTATGCTCTTGGTGTATTACTGCTTACCTTAATCACATGAAGATCTCTGCGCTGGCAGAGAACACACAATCATCAATTGTGTTTAATGAAGTGTTGGCTACTGCTGGAAAAGACATCGTGACAAAGGACATAACTCGGATGCGCGGTGGCTGGCCAATGCAAGATGCATTTTATGTAAGTACCATTCTCTCTGGAACTTTGTTATAATATGAGATTATTCTCATACATGATATTATTTTATATTCTATTCTTTCATGATTATATCATCTTCTACAAAAGTCTTAACGAAATTTTGGGAATAATTGTCTGACTTGTAGTTTGACGAGGCCCCTCATTGCCAATTATATTTTGATGCAGGCTTTCTCTCAACATACGGAACTTTCAGTTTTGTTCATGGAACACTTAATATCCATTCTCAATCGTAGTTCTTTAGTTAAAGGTGATCCACATAAGGGAGAGAATACTAGCTCTTCTTCTGAAACACATGTAGAAGATGAAATTCTTCAAGCTGCCATTTTTGCTCTCACTGCTTTTTTTCGGTACCTTTCATAAACCATCAATTTTACTTGAGAGTACAAGACGCATTTTGGGTGGCTAATATACTCAATTAACCAGAGGTGGCGGAAAAATTGGAAAGAAAGCTGTTGAGAAAAGCTACTCTTCTGTCGTTGGGGCACTTACTCTTCTATTGGGAAGCTGTCATGGACTTGCAAGTTCTGGTCAGCAAGATCCATTACGGTAACTCCTCTACTTTCAAGAGAACTGTAGGCAGATAGCGATTGGTACTCTTATTTTAGTAAAGCCTTTGTAATATGTTTCCCTCTTGGCAGAGTACTTCTAACTTCATTTCAGGCTTTCTGTGAGTGTGTTGGTGATCTGGAGATGGGCAAGGTACCTTTTAACTTTAACATTAAATTGGTTCTGTTTTGTTTCTAGTATGATAAACTGATTCTCTTATCTTTACTTAGATTTTGGCTCGTAATGGGGAGCAAAGAGAAAAAGAAAAATGGGTTGATCTTATTGGCCATATTGCTGGATGCATTTCAATTAAGAGACCGAAGGAGGTACCTAGTTGATGCAGTTGTGTTTCTCAGGGTCTTTGTCGCCTATAACTGTTGTGTCTCACCAATTGACCATTGGTTCATTAGTTGAGTAGTCAAATCAATGGTGGCAACATGGACTTTCTCATGATCATTCTTGTTGGGAATCATGATATATGCGCATAGTAGTTTAGTACACATGAGGGATTCTTTCTGTCTGAAAAAGGAATGAGATTAGGGAAGCCGAACCTATTCTTAAGACAGCCTAACTGACTTGTTTGCTTACGCATCTGTACTTTTTGTTTCTGAAACCTTTTTAAGACAGTAATTTAGAAGAAAAAAATTCAGTGATGAAGAAAAAGGAGTTTACAATTTCCATTCAGACTGAAGTAGAACTTAAGTTTTAATACTGGTGTTACAGGTTCGACATATTTGCATGATTCTAACGAAAGCACTAAACCGTCCACAAAGATTTCAGCGGGAAGCTGCTGCCGCTGCATTGTCAGAGTTTATACGCTACAGGTATAATGTTTTGATGTCCTGAAAACTTTTTTTTTTTTTTCATTTTAATTTTATTTCCTACAGGTGTAGTTTTCTGTAATTTTGCTCGGCTTAGTGACACATTGATTTAGATGCGTGTACCCATTCAGCTAGTAAGCTCTGTTTGGAAAAAGAAGTTTAATTCGAAGTCATGTGTATATAAAAGTGAAGGAAAGAAAGTCAAAGGACTGAAGCATCGTTCCTGACATGTGTCATGAACAAAGCACTTCCTTGGTGCCTTATTTTCTTAGATTTCCTCTACTAATATTTCTGAGTTGCAGTGGTGATTTTAGTTCTGTAATGGAGGAGATGGTCGAAGCACTCTGCCGACATGTGTCAGATGATTCTCCGACTGTAAGGCGCCTTTGTCTAAGAGGATTAGTGCAAGTAAGAGTAATTCTGAGCAGTTTTTATTTACTTATCTTGATTGTCTAAGAGTATTAGGGCATGAAAGAGTTATACGGATCAGCTTTATTCCTTATCATGGTCTTCTTTCTAGTCGGTTTACCATAAAGTATATGCTCCTGTTGGATTATGATAATGATGTTAGATCAACAGTTAATTTCTAAAAAACCCTAAATCACTCATTATGGGGATCAGGGATGTGTTATCTTCCACTAAGTAAAACAAGTTTATACACATATATTCCCTATATTTATAGCATATTGATGCTATGAGAGTTACCTGTGACATATATTAGAGGATAGCTAACCAGTTTTTGGACTAAGGTGGTTTGCGAAATTTAAATTGGTTTCTGCTGCTTGTCTTTCCCCCAAATTTATTATTCATGATTCATCACTTAGCTGCTTCCTGTTTTTGCCAGATGCCATCTGATTGTATGAACCACTACACAACTCAAGTTATTGGTGTAATATTAGTGTTGCTTGACGATCTGGAGGAGTCTGTGCAACTAACTGCTGTGGCATGCTTGTTGATGGTAATGTTCAAACCCATTAACAACTCAATTTTTCTGAATTCTGACTGTCAGATCTATTAGCAATTTGGTTGAACTCTATATGCGTGTTTTCTTTTGTCAGGTCACAGAGTCAGCTTCTAATGATGCTGTTGAACCTATCTTGCTGAATTTATCTATTCGGCTTCGTAACCTTCAGGTAAGGTCTAGCTTTAAGTTATCTGAAAGGTTTTAACTGAAACTAGTATAAAATAAAGCTTTTAGGCCACACTCAAGCTTGAACAGAAGAAAAATTGCAAAACCAGTTCACTATACTATCAGATACATTTTTTCTTTTTGAGTGCGTTGCCACTAATTTTACTTGAAATTCCAATTTGTAACAGGTTAGTATGGACCCGAAGATGAGAGCCAATGCATTTGCAGCACTTGGAGCTTTAAGTAAATATGCTATTGGAGGGCAAAGGGAGGGATTTGTCGAGCAGGTGACACATACTCTTTTCGTTTCCTTTAAAATAATATGGATGTCGAGGAAAGAACATTTTTCAATTTTAATCTAAAGCTCATTAGATTAAAACGTCTAATATCAGATTCATTCCACCCTTCCACGCTTGGTAGTGCACCTCCATGACGATGATCCTAGCATAAGACAGGCTTGTCGGGTAATTTTCTCCATAGCCGATTGCTCCTTTGTTTGGTTTGAGGTAACTTTTAGTTTACATATCTGTTATTTTTTGAATAGGGAACCCTCAAGCGGTTTGCTCCACTTGTGGACATAATAAACCATTCTAGCCTCTATGATTCACGTGCTTTTGCTTCTGAAGATAGGTATGTCTCACGGTCCTATGAGTACCAAATCTATTTTGTGAACTGACTATGAAAACTTCGTAAGGGATCTTCTAAAATTGTTTACATTTTCAGGACTGACTATGAAAACTTCGTAAGGGATCTCTCAAAGCACTTGGTTCAAGAGTCCGAAAGAGTTGATACTTACATGGCCTCAACCATCCAGGTTCGGCTCTCCTCGAATAATCATCATAGTTGCTAAATTCGTACATAAACTATATATACAAAAAAACTGAAGTGATTACTACCCGGTGCAGGCTTTTGATGCACCGTGGCCAGTTATTCAGGCGAATGCAATACACTTCTCCACCACCATGTTGTCACTCTCAGAGGATCAGCACATAATCTCTCTCTACTACCCACAGGTATATTAGAGAAACTACATATAACATGCACATAAATCTTTATTAGTTCTCAAGCCTGTCTCTTGTTCAGGTGTTTGAAACGCTGGTTAGCAAAATGACCAGGTCACAAGATTCCGTTGTGAGAGCAGCATGCTCATCAGCCTTCGGGTTACTGCTAAGATCAAGCAAGTCAACACTCTGGAGAGGAGCTCGACTTGATCGGACCGACTCAGGTAGAAAATCCAATGATCCTGAGTCTGTTAAGAAATAACAGGTGCATTGCAGTCCTTGTGAATACCAACCGGTTACTGCCGAAAAATCTGGGGTTTTGCGATATATATCTATATCCATGTGTACAGTGTGCAATGAGAAACCATCCAGATTTGTGTGTTTGTTGTAAAGTGTATTATGGTTTCATCTTGTAAAGGATATTGTCACTTGTGTGTCGTCTCTATTACCGAAGTCAGGAAAGAAACATTCACACGAAAGTATTGTAGGCTCTGGTCCTCTTTTTGTTGATTATGATTTTTGAGGCTACTGCTAGATATTATTGTCTTGACAGAGTCCAACGTTGGATTTATCTTCATGTACTGTTTTATATGAGAGTTTAATCGGTCTTTGAAGTTTCAAACACGAATTCGATTTTGGCAACATTAGTAATTTCTGTGCCCCTTATTTGTTTATTATTGATTCTTGAGACTTGCGGATAGATGTAGCTATCAGCGAGCTCCAAGTTGTTGTTTTTGTGTATGTGAATTATCTTCTTTTTTGTTATGAAGATGTGTCTCTAAACTTTTCGTGAGAAGGAAGGTCACTAGAAGATGTATACGGTCACAAACGGACAAACTAAGCATTGGCTAAGAATGTCCTGTAGCAAGCACAATCTGTGGACTTAATAAGAGGTGTTTGGCAAGTAAAAATCTGTTTACGTCATCTATTACGTCTTCTGTTCCCTTTATGTTTTGCTCTCCACGCTTCTTATCCTTTATAAGCTCGCACAAATCTAAAGCAAAACCAAAACAAAACTTGAGTGTTTCTTACTAAGGTTGAATCATGGTTTCTGAAACAACCAACGAATCTTATCCACTTCACTTTGTTCTTTTCCCTTTCATGGCTCAAGGCCACATGATTCCCATGGTTGATATTGCAAGGCTCTTGGCTCAGCGCGGTGTGACCATAACAATTGTCACGACGCCTCACAATGCAGCGAGGTTCAAGAATGTCCTAAACCGAGCCATTGAGTCTGGCTTGCCCATCAACCTAGTGCAAGTCAAGTTTCCATATCAAGAAGCTGGTTTGCAAGAAGGACAAGAGAATATCGATTCTCTTGAGACAATGGAGCGGATGATATCTTTCTTTAAAGCGGTTAACTTGCTCGAAGAACCAGTCCAGAAGCTCATTGAAGAGATGAACCCTCGACCAAACTGTCTAATTTCTGATTTCTGTTTGCCTTATACAAGCAAAATCTCCAAGAAGTTCAATATCCCAAAGATCCTCTTCCATGGCATGGGTTGCTTTTGTCTTCTGTGTATGCATGTTTTACGCAAGAACCGTGAGATCTTGGACAATTTAAAGTCTGATAAGGAGTATTTCACTGTTCCTTATTTTTCTGACAGAGTTGAATTCACAAGACCTCAAGTTCCGGTAGAAACATATGTTCCAGCTGGAGACTGGAAAGAGATCTTCGATGGTATGATAGAAGCGAATGAGACATCTTATGGTGTGATAGTCAACTCATTTCAAGAGCTCGAGCCTGCTTATGCCAAAGACTACAAGGAGGTAAGGTCCGGTAAAGCATGGACCATTGGACCAGTTTCCTTGTGCAACAAGGTAGGAGCAGACAAAGCAGAGAGGGGAAACAAATCAGACATTGATCAAGATGAGTGCCTTAAATGGCTCGATTCTAAGGAACCGGGCTCTGTACTCTATGTTTGCCTTGGAAGTATCTGCAATCTTCCTCTGTCTCAGCTCAAGGAGCTGGGGATAGGCCTCGAGGAATCTCAAAGACCTTTCATCTGGGTCATAAGAGGTTGGGAGAAGTACAAAGAGTTAGTTGAATGGTTCTTGGAAAGCGGATTTGAAGATAGAATCAAAGACAGAGGACTTCTCATCAAAGGATGGTCTCCTCAAATGCTTATCCTTTCACATCCTTCTGTTGGAGGGTTCTTAACGCATTGCGGATGGAACTCGACTCTTGAGGGGATAACCGCTGGTCTACCGCTTCTTACATGGCCTCTATTTGCAGACCAATTCTGCAACGAGAAACTAGTCGTTCAGGTACTAAAAGCCGGTGTAAGAGCCGGGGTTGAGCAGCCTATGAAATGGGGAGAAGAGGAGAAAATAGGAGTGTTGGTGGATAAAGAAGGAGTGAAGAACGCAGTGGAAGAATTAATGGGTGAGAGTGATGATGCAAAAGAGAGAAGAAGAAGAGCCAAAGAGCTTGGAGAATTAGCTCACAAGGCTGTGGAAGAAGGAGGCTCTTCTCATTCTAACATCTCATTCTTGCTACAAGACATAATGCAACTAGCACAATCCAAGAATTGAGTATACGTCACCTTTTCAAAGGAATTTACACATTATAAATAGTTTTTGTTTCTTTATTTTGTGAAATTTAAATCGAAACCTTAGTTATACATTTGTAAGAATCAGCAGAAGACAACTTAGTGACGACTTTCACATTCTGGAGTCATCTCTACTTTGAAAAAAGGTTGTTAAATATTGTTCGTTTAGACTTAATCTAAAATTAAGGCTGCGCCTAATTTTCCTAAACCAAGAACAATTGACATTACCTTTTTCTGTCCCATTAATGATTAAAAGTATAATTGTAAATATCCATCTTTTGAAAAAGTTATATTTTTTGTTCAAGGCCGATTAATCCTTATAATTAAAATTTGAACATGATTTGTTTTTTTTTTTTTTTTCTTCTTTGAACATGATTTGTTTATAAAGTGTAACTAAATCTAGATGTTAACTTGCATGCATAATAATTCAAATTTAACATAACCCAAAAATACTCAAAATATTTGTCTGAAACCTAGAAAATTTAGATCCAACGATTATGATTTTCACAAAATGAACAAATTCGAATTTATACAAAAAAAATATAAGAAGAAGCTTATTTGAATCATACCAAAAAAAAAAAAGAAGCTTACTCGAAAAATTTATACGTTATTTGACTCTTTCCGAAATTATATTACGACATGTGCATGTGACCCATAAAAATTTGTTAACGTCTAGTAGATAAAGTTGTGTTGGAAAGAGTCGTCAAGTCCGATTTGGCGGCAGTGGATTTATCATCTTTTAGTGTCATTTACAAGAACCGAATTGAACTTTGAAATGTCAAACAGAATTCGATTTTGGTAATGAGTGAGACTCAGAGAGTCTTCTTTTGTTAGTCTTTTGAGACTTGTACAGCCACGTCTAACTAACTTAGAGTCCAAATTTGATTTTGTGTCTTGCAGATCAAGTATCTTATCTTTGTAAGCTTTTCCAGTAAAGAAAAGATGTCACTAGAAGACGCATAAGGTCACAAAAAGACGAGAGAAGAAAGTTTTGGCCACGAAATATCCTCTTGTAATAAAAGCTTTAATTTAGTAGCAAATTTGTCAATTACTTTATGTGTCTTACGTCATCTACTACATCATGTTAGAGCATATGTAAGGGGAGAACACTTTGTGTGTTCTTAAGGGTTTTAAAATAATAAAAATGTTGAATAGTAGATACAACTGTTCTTAAAATTATAAAAACTGTTCTTCAGGAAGAACAGTTCGCAGGATAAGTTAGAACTGTTCTACCACTGTTCACCTTATTTCCTATTTTTAAATCTTAAGAACACACTCAAAAGTTTCCCCCTTACATATGGTCTTAGTGAAGCCTTTTTTTAAAAATATCGCCACTATTCTTATCTATCTTTTATAACCACACACGATCACAATTCACACACACAGTGCCGGCCCGGTAAATTTAGGTGTCCTAAGCAAAATTAAAGCCCATAAAAAAAAATTATTTTAAATTAGATTTTTACCATTAAAAAGAATGTTGTAGTTGTCTCTAAAAGTCCATAATATTTTTAAAAGGCCTTACAAAAATTATTGTATATAAGAAAACTTAACAAATTTTTAGATAAAAAGGCCCTCAAATTTTGAGGCCCTAATCGGTGGCTTCGGTGGCTTGCCCTCTGCGCCGGTCCTGCACACACATATATATATAATCCAAAGAAAAACACATAACTTAATTGAGTATTCCTCATTGAGTTGGAACCGTTATGGCTTCCGAAGAAACCCACCAGTTTCATCCTTCTCTTCACTTTGTTCTCTTCCCTTTCATGGCTCAAGGCCACATGATTCCCATGATTGATATTTCAAGGCTTTTGGCTCAGCGCAGTGTGACCATAACAATTGTCACGACGCCTCACAACGCAGCAAGGTTCAAGAATGTTCTAAGCCGTGCAATAGAGTCGGGCTTGCCCATCAAACTGGTGCATGTGAAGTTTCCATATCAAGAAGCTGGTTTGCAAGAAGGACAAGAGAATATAGATTCGTTAGACTCAAAGGAGTTGATGGTACCTTTTTTTAAAGCGGTGAACATGCTAGAAGAGCCGGTCACGAAGCTCATGGAAGAGATGAAACCTAAACCTAGCTGTCTAATTTCTGATTGGTGTTTGCCTTATACAAGCATAATCGCCAAGAAATTCAATATACCAAAGATAGTTTTCCACGGCATGGGTTGTTTCTGTCTTTTGTGTATGCATGTTCTACGCCAAAATCTAGAGATCCTAGAGAATATAAAGTCAGATAATGAGTATTTACTGGTTCCTTGTTTTCCTGATAAAGTTGAATTTACAAAGCCTCAACTTCCTGTGAAAGCAAATGCAAGTGGAGATTGGAAAGAGATCATGGACGGAATGGTAAAAGCAGAATACACATCATATGGTGTGGTAGTCAACACATTCGAAGAGTTGGAGCCTGCTTATGTAAAAGACTACCAAGAGGCAAGGGCTGGAAAAGTATGGTCCATTGGACCAGTTTCCTTGTGCAACAAGGTAGGAGCAGACAAAGCAGAGAGGGGTAACAAAGCGGCTATTGATCAAGATGATTGTCTTAAATGGCTTGATTCTAAAGAAGAAGGTTCGGTGCTCTATGTTTGCCTTGGAAGTATCTGCAATCTTCCTTTGGCTCAGCTCAAGGAGTTGGGGCTAGGCCTTGAGGAATCCCGAAGACCTTTTATTTGGGTCATAAGAGGTTGGGAAAAGTATAATGAACTATCTGAGTGGATGTTGGAGAGCGGTTTTCAAGAAAGAATCAAAGAGAGAGGATTTCTCATTAGAGGCTGGGCACCACAAGTCCTTATCCTTTCACATCCTTCCGTTGGAGGATTCTTGACACACTGTGGATGGAATTCGACTCTCGAAGGAATCACCTCGGGCATTCCACTTCTCACATGGCCGCTGTTTGCAGACCAATTCTGTAACGAGAAACTAGTTGTGCAGGTACTAAAAGCCGGTGTAAGAGCCGGAGTTGAGCAGCCTATGAAATCGGGAGAAGAGGAGAAAATAGGAGTGTTAGTTGATAAAGAAGGAGTGAAGAAAGCAGTTGAAGAATTAATGGGTAATAGTGGTGATGCAAAAGAGAGGAGAAGAATAGCCAAAGAGCTTGGAGAATTAGCTCACAAGGCTGTGGAAGAAGGAGGCTCTTCTCATTCTAACATCTCATTCTTGCTACAAGACATAGTGCAACTAGTGCAATCCAAGAATTGATTGTATATCTCGTTATTGTTCTTATTAGTTCAATCATTGTTCGTTCATGTAATATCTTTTAAAGTGGGTCAATAAATTACACATTTCATCAAAAAAAAAAAAAAAAATTAGTTATTTGTTGGGTAGTCGAATTCGTCTTGTTTTTCCTATTAAAATTATGTAAATTTTTTAGATATACATTTTTTAAAACTACAACTTATATACATTGAAATAGTAGAAAGAGCCAAAGTCTAATAATTTCATAGTATAGACAGCTGCTCTGGTAGTCCGGAGGAGTTCAACTTTGATATTTCTTCTAGCGGTGACTTAGAATTTAGGATTATCAATAAAGAACGATTCTCAGAAATCGGCAATTTCCGTAATAATTTCTTTAATTTATATTATTTTATCGCTTTTCATATTTTAATATTTTCAAAAATTCAATTTATTTTGTCCTGATCAATTTTCGACAGTCAAAATTTTGACATATGTGGATATTTTATTTGAAATGAAATGTTCATAATATTTTTTTTGTTTGCAAAGAAAAAGAGAAAAATATATGTTTTTTAAAAAAAAAACTCAATCTAATATCCTATCAAAATCAATCATCAAATATGGAGTAAAGAAGAAATACTATAGAATACACACTTTGATTTATTTTGAAGACAAATGTTTGAGGTTTATGGCCCTCTTTAATGATTTTAGGATTGTTGTCCATATGACATAAAAAAGAATGAGAGACTGAAAGATTCCGAATTTGATTTTTCTTTCTTTATTCGTTTATCCAATATTAATTTTTGCGGCTGTGAACTCTTCACCATATTTTCGACGTACTTCTAAAAGATATTTTCTCTTAATTTTTTGGTATGAATACAAATGAACACATGAGTTATGAGTACCCTCCACGATATGTACTGTGAACCATTTAGTGTCATGGGTGGACACGGAGCGGATATCCGGGATTTTGGTGGTATTTGTGATTCGATTCGTTTTCTCCGAATACTGAGTTTTCCAATTTGTATTTGCTTTGTTAGTGACCGGATATCCGTTAAAATCCAAACTATTTGCTGGATATCTGATCCGTTAAGTATTTGTTTAAAAAATAATAATAACAAAATTAATCCAAAAATAATAAAATTTTATTAAAAATAGTGATATTTTATCATAAATATATATTTCTCCTTTAATTGTTCAGACTAGTAGTTCAAATAATTAATTCGGTGATTATAAAATTATAAAACACATACAAGAATAATAGAGTTATAATTTATATATGTAATTATCTATATATATGTATGCATTCGGGAGCGGAGCGGATATCCGTCTATTTAAATTATAGTATTTGATATTTGCTTCGTTTTTGACAAATACATATTTTTACTATTTGATTTGCTTCGTAAGATTACGGATATCCGGATTTTTCGAATCGAATCAAATCGAATAACGGATCGAAGCGAATCTAACGGATATTTTGCCCAGCCCTTAATTAGTGTTTTGTAACCGTTACGAACAAGCCAATATGCTTTTGTTCTTTCTTTCATTTTCATTGAGTCCATGAATATAAATATATGTATTCACAGAGAAGCATTATCTCTATTCTCTGACCGGTATTTGTTTTTTTTTTTATATCAACGTCACTTTGTTCCGACCAAAAAAAAAAAAAGAGCGTAGAGAGTTCCTCATGGCATCCGAAACTAGCCACCAATTTCGTCCTCCTCTTCACTTTGTTCTCTTCCCTTTCATGGCTCAAGGTCACATGATCCCCATGGTGGATATTGCAAGGCTCTTGGCTCAGCGCGGGGTGACTATAACCATTGTCACGACGCCTCACAACGCAGGCCGGTTCAAGAACGTTCTTAGCCGGGCCATCCAGTCCGGCTTGCCCATCAATCTTGTGCAAGTAAAGTTTCCATCTCATGAATCGGGTTCACCCGAAGGACAGGAGAATTTGGACTTGCTGGATTCGTTGGGGGCCTCATTAGCCTTCTTCAAAGCATCTAGCCTGCTCGAGGAACCTGTCGAGAAGCTCTTGAAAGAGATTCAACCTAGGCCAAGCTGCATAATCGCCGACATGTGTTTGCCTTATACAAACCGAATTGCCAAGAATCTTGGTATACCAAAAATCATCTTTCATGGCATGTGTTGCTTCAATCTTCTTTGTACGCACATTATGCACCAAAACTACGAGTTGTTGGAAACTATAGAGTCTGAAAAGGAGTACTTCCCCATTCCAAATTTCCCTGACAGAGTTGAGTTCACAAAATCTCAGCTTCCAATGGTTTTAGTTGCTGGAGATTGGAAAGAGTTTCTTGACGAAATGACAGAAGCGGATAACACTTCTTTCGGTGTGATTGTTAACACGTTTGAAGAGCTCGAGCCAGCTTATGTTAGAGACTACAAGAAGGTTAAAGCCGGTAAGGTATGGAGCATCGGGCCGGTTTCCTTGTGCAACAAGGTAGGAAAAGACAAAGCTGAGAGGGGAAACAAGGCGGCCATTGATCAAGACGAGTGTATTAAATGGCTTGATTCTAAAGAAGTAGGGTCAGTTCTATATGTTTGCCTTGGAAGTATATGCAACCTTCCTCTGTCTCAGCTCAAAGAGCTCGGGTTAGGCCTCGAGGAATCCCAAAGGCCTTTCATTTGGGTCATAAGAGGTTGGGAGAAGTATAACGAGTTATTTGAGTGGATCTCAGAGAGCGGTTTTAAGGAAAGAATCAAAGAGAGAGGCCTTATCATAAGAGGATGGTCGCCTCAAATGCTTATCCTTTCACACCCTGCCGTTGGGGGATTCTTGACACATTGTGGATGGAACTCGACTCTTGAAGGAATCACTTCAGGCGTTCCATTGCTCACTTGGCCATTATTTGGAGACCAATTCTGCAACGAGAAATTGGCGGTGCAGATACTAAAAGCCGGTGTGAGAGCCGGGGTTGAGGAGTCCATGAGATGGGGAGAAGAGGAGAAAGTAGGAGTATTGGTGGATAAAGAAGGAGTAAAGAATGCAGTGGAAGAATTGATGGGTGATAGTAACGATGCTAAGGAGAGAAGAAAAAGAGTCAAAGAGCTTGGAGAATTAGCTCACAAGGCTGTGGAGGAAGGAGGCTCTTCTCAATCCAACATCACATTCTTGCTACAAGACATAACACAACTAGCACAATCCAAGAAATGATTGTAACATTTCTTTGTGTTAATTACCAAGAAAAACAAATGATTGTAACGTTTGTTCTCGATTACATCTCTTTGTTCAAGAACAATTAATTTATAATAGTTTTATTTGAAATTGTCTCTATAATCGAATCTAATAATAACATCATCGTAAACATGACTTCATGCATGATTGTAGAAGAGTGTAGAAACCTTCTCCAGTTATCAACACTCTTTTTTGTTTGTTTTCTCGATTGTGAAAACTTTGTGTTATATCCAAAAAATGACATCATTCATGACTAAAACATTAACCCGTTTAGGGACAAGTCCATATCTGGACACTTTTGTAATTTCCAGTTAGTAATATAATATGGGCTTTGAAATTGTATTACTTGAAGGCCCAATAGTATCTTCAGTCCATAAACAATGGTGTACGAACCAGTACGCCGTGTGAAGGAGTGAATCGAAGAGCGCGGTGGTCGCCGGCGAAGACGTATGCTCGTCGAAGAAACTTCTCCAACCTTAAATTCTCTGAAGGTAATTCTCGAGTACGATTTTAAGCTCATCAAAGAAATTACTTTTCACTCTACGGGCTCTTCTTCGATCACTGTGTAAATCACTCAAATTTTGGGTTTTTGTTCCTGTTTCCTTCTCGTGATTTGGCTCTAGTCGTAAAGTTTTGAAATTGCGAGGAACCCTAATTTTGAGTCCCTTGCTGATTTGTTAATTTGTGTGTTGTCACATTTTCGTTAAGTTAGTGAACTTCTAAAGGGGTAAGAGGTGAGCAAGTTATCAATGGAAAGTGATAAAGAAGAGCCAATGGTGTTCTTGGACCGTACAACAAGAGCAACACGGGGTAAACGGTAAGAATTACTTGAGCTTAAGCTTCTACTTGATGAATGTGTTTCACCTGAAGACTGTGGTTTTGTCTCACTGTCATTAGTTTTGTTTTTCAGGATGACCAAGTTGCTTGATGACGAAGTAGAAGAAGATGAACAGTTTTGGAATCAAGAAGCTCTTAAAGAGGTTTGTTTTGTTTTGTTATATGTATCTTAACTCTCTTTTAGAGATTGGGAATGATTTCTTATGGATATCAAAGTATATATAATGGAACAATCAGATTTGTAGATAAGCAGGTGATGAGATACTATTTCAGAAACTTTTGTATGTATGTTGTCATTTATATATCTCTTTACCTTTGCTATCTGCAGGAAGAACATGATGATGAATATGAAGCAGAACGTGAAGTTGCTGATGAGTTTGACAGCGACTTCAATGACGATGTATTTATGTCTTGCTTATCTATTGAGTACTTTATTCATCAAGGTGTTTGCTCATAGTCCATTTTTAAAACTTTCTTTCTTTTACCTTTTGTTTGGGAATAGGAGCCTGAGCCTGATGCAGTAGCCCAAAATGAAAAAGAAGAGAGGTGTGACATTTTCCAAAGTTCGTCTTATGATGGCTATTATGTATATCTGTTTTGTTATAATTTTGCATATTGTTGCAGGGATCTGCCAAAGAAGCGGCTGATTTACCCTGGGAAAATTGCTTCAAAGAAAAAGAAGAAGAAGACGAAGGTAGTTTCGAAACTACAAGATATTCCTGGAGATGAGAAGCCAGGTGAAGAATTGGGAAGTAAGGAACAAGACGAAAAAGAAGAGAATGAAGCACAAGAAGATATGGAAGGTGAGAAGGTCATTAGGAAATCAACACGGACTTCAGTGGTTGTACGGCAAGCAGAAAGAGATGCATTGCGTGCTGCTATACAAGCAACTACAAAGGTTTTCTCAGAATTCATCCCCATTGGCTACGCTTTAATCTCTTTTTCTAAGTCATGCCATGTTGAATTCGTTTTTGTGTTTGTTCAGCCAATACAAAGGAAAAAAGTAGGGGAGGAAAAACGGATGACCCAAGAAGAAATGCTGCTGGAAGCTGCTCAAACAGGTTTGGATTTTATGATGCTGCATCTGTTTTTCTATCAGAAACTTAAATTGCTAAAGTCAAATTTTTTGCAGAAATCATGAACTTGAGGAATTTAGAACGTGTCTTGGCAAGGGAAGAAGAAGTAAAAAAGAAAGCGATTGTGCATAAAGCAGTCTACAAGGGTCCTCAGATTCGGTATCATTCAAAAGATGGTACGCTCTCCAGTAAAATAGTTTCCAATCTAATCCGATCTTTCCAGAAAAGTAAGAACTATACTTGTTGAAACTTCTAACTTTACCTGCAGGATGCAACTATTTAGAATTCTGTAATGGTGCGTCGTTCAATTCAGAGTTGTCGACGAAGTCTGTTCCCTGTAAGTAATTTTGTTCTTAGTGGTGTTTGGAGATGAACATAAATGTGTTCGTATTGATCTCTGTCTTTATTTTGTTTTGTTTTCTCTTTTCCAGATCCAGAAAAAGCTCTATGTGTGATTACAGGATTACCTGCCAAGTAAGAGTTTTTCTGTTCTTCTACTTTCTCATTGGAAGAACAAGATCTCGTGAAATGAACACAAGTAGAATCTCTTAGGTCTACTGAAAAGAAGTTATCGTGTTTCTTTGATATCTACTTGCCGAAAAGAAATGATGTTATAACCTAGCAACCTGATTATCTTTTCTCTGCAATTCCAAAACTAGTTCTAAGTTGTTGTGTATATCGCTGATACAGGTACCGGGATCCAAAAACTGGTCTTCCTTATGCAACTAGAGACGCCTTCAAAGCAATACGCGAAAGGTGTCATTTGATCCTATTATTGTTGCATCTATGTATTCACCTGTAGAAGTATTCATTTGTTGTTTCCTCTAATGAATGTTATCGGGGGAAACAGGCTTTTACATAGTCTTTTGGCTTTAGTGTTAGAATCTGATATGTTCCAAACGTCTTGTGTTTTTGCTTCTGAAGGTTCATGGACGAACATGATGGTTTGAGAAAGAAAATGGAGATGGGAGATTTGTTTGATACGCTAATTGCGAAAGGTTTTACTGTGAAACAAAAGAGAACAAAGATTCCAAAGAGTAACAAATCATTTTCCCTAAGAAGCTCAGCTCGTTTCCTTAGCTCCGAGTCTGAAGAAGAGAGTGAAGATTCAGATTAATAAACACATCACTGATTTGGTTAGTATATATATAAATAAAAGCCTTTAGTATTCATGAAACATGATAATGAACTCACAGTTGTAATCACTCTCTGCAGAATCTGCATCTCACATGATTGTGATACATGGATCTTCCCACGACCAGTGTCTGTATAAAATCATCAAATGGTTTTGGTTCTCAGAGAGAAGAAGCGAGAAGAACATTCATAGAGGAAGTTTTCATGATCAGAGCTTGAAATGGAAACAACAACACTCTAATCAGAGATTGAATCCTCCCAACCCAAACCTCTGACACCATCACAGAATCAGAGAGAAAGTGTAATCTTCTGTATATTGCTGAGTGCTGACCTTGTAAAGATGATATTTGGTTGATTTTAGTTCACATTTAACCGAACCGAAACTTTTAATTTAGTTCGGTTTGGTTAAACCGTTCCAAAGCTATAAATGAATCACCGATTTGAAAAATTGGAAGCTATTTCTCAGAGCGCCAATGGCATAATTTGACCTCACAAGAATGATTCGCAGTTTAGATTCAAGCTTCAAATCCAAGAAACACCAATGTCTTATCTTCCTCAAGCTCTGTTCCTCCATTAAACATCTTTTACAGATCCATGGTCAAATCCATGTCTCCTCTCTCCAAAATGACAGCTTTATCATCAGCGAGCTTATACGGGTTTCTTCACTATCTCACACCAAAGACCTTGCCTTTGCACGAACCCTCCTGCTTCACTCTTCAGATTCGACTCCTTCTACTTGGAATATGCTCACCAGAGGCTATTCTTCGAGTGATACTCCTGTAGAATCGATTTGGGTTTACTCTGAGATGAAGAGACGACGAATCAAACCTAATAAGCTCACTTTTCCTTTTCTTCTTAAAGCTTGTGCTTCGTTTTTAGGTCTCACGGCTGGGAGACAGATTCAAGTTGAGGTTTTGAAGCATGGGTTTGATTCTGATGTGTATGTTGGGAACAATTTGATTCATCTCTATGGTTCTTGTAAGAAAACTTCTGATGCCAGGAAGGTGTTCGACGAAATGACTGAGAGAAATGTTGTTTCTTGGAACTCTATTATGACAGCTCTCGTTGAGAATGGTAAGTTCAATTTGGTGGTGGAGTGTTTTTTTGAGATGATTGGTAGGCAGTTTTGTCCGGATGAGACGACAATGGTGGTTTTGCTCTCTGCGTGTGGTGGTAACTTGAGCTTGGGGAAATTGGTGCATTCACAGGTGATGGTAAGAGAGTTAGAGTTGAACTGTAGACTAGGTACTGCACTTGTTGACATGTATGCAAAATCTGGTGGATTAAAGTATGCTCGGTTAGTTTTCGAAAGAATGGCTGACAAAAATGTTTGGACTTGGAGCGCCATGATTGTAGGATTAGCACAATATGGATTTGCAGAAGAAGCCCTTCAACTATTCTCGAAGATGATGAAAGAATCATCAGTTAGACCAAACTACGTGACATTTCTCGGTGTTTTATGCGCTTGTAGCCACACGGGATTGGTGGATGACGGGTACAAATACTTCCACGAAATGGAGAAAAGACACAAGATCAAACCAATGATGATTCACTACGGGGCAATGGTCGATATCTTGGGACGTGCAGGTCGACTAAACGAGGCATATGACTTCATACAGAAAATGCCTTTTGAGCCTGATGCGGTTGTTTGGAGAACTCTACTCTCTGCTTGTAGTATCCATCACGATGAAGATGATAAGGGAATTGGAGAGAAAGTAAAGAAGAGATTGATTGAGTTAGAGCCAAAGAGGAGTGGTAATTTGGTGATTGTGGCGAATAGGTTTGCGGAAGCAAGGATGTGGGATGAGGCAGCAGAAGTTAGGAGAGTAATGAAGGAAACTAAGATGAAGAAGATCGCCGGAGAGAGTTGTCTAGAGCTAGGAGGGTCATTTCATAAATTCTTCTCAGGGTATGATCCTCGTCCTGAGTATGTATCCATCTATGAGTTATTAGATTTGTTCAAGTTTCAATTGACATGTGACAATCATTTGGTGTCTAGTGATCCGGATCAATGCTCTTGACTTCTCTTCTAGTTACTTGTATATATTTACAATTTTTTAAAAAGATTTGCCAGGATTTGATTCAACATTTTAACATTTCCTAGAGGTAATGAATGACTAGGATAGGAAAATTATTAAAAAAAAAAATGATCAATAATACATTACCAAGTTTTTCTTACAATTATTTAAAATTTCCCATTAAGAACAATCATAAACCAATGTTATAAGTCCCTCCTTAATGGTTGACTGTATTTCTCTAAATAATTTGTATCTGATTAAAGATGCTATACTTTTTACTCGATACTGGTAGTAAAAGTTGTCGGAGATCAAATAAGGTTATCTGCAAAAAATTTGACAGCGGGTAATATTATTAATACAAAGCGTAGAAAATATAATTTAGTTTACTCTTTAACGTACGCAATGCAATATTGAAATAAAATGCGACACCTATGTAAAGTGTAAAACCTATTTTGGAAAATATGAATGGATTTTGCAATTGGAGCTACCATTAAATATCGTAGCCAATGGCAATTTGGCATATCCAATGGAAGATTCTCAATTTTCGTCCTATAATCTTGATATTTTTTTATTCAATAACAAAAAGTTAACACTTTAGCATTACTTTCATACATGACTCAAACTCAAAGTACGAAACCAAGCGTTGGCTCTGTCTTAATGTTACTAATTTTTGTTCTATAACGATTAAAAGTCTTTTTCAAAATTAACTAAAATATTATCATAAATTTATATACAAAAAACAGTTTTACAAGCATAGTGTATGTATGAATTACGATTTTCACTTGAATTTCAAAAGAACAACGAAAAAGATAAACAATATCAGTTAACCTCACATGAAAGCATATACTAATGTGAATGATTGATGGTAGTTTGAAAATATTAAAATAAAAATAAAAATCTCAGAATCATATATTAATTAGAATGACATTATGTTATCATGTGTATATCTTACGTGTTAAATACGAACCAGAATAACAAAAAATTGCATGCCCGAGTTTTTAGTTATCTATTTTTACTTATTTACAAGTTAAGAAGACATAAACATATGTAACGTCAAGTCATCGCATACGTATGATCCATCATTTTTTTTTTTTTTTTTTGTCAAAGTACGTATGATCCATCATTCTAGCAACTTTCATAGGTATTATTAATGTATTCATTACAAAAGATAATTAATGAAATCGCATACCATTTTCTTAAAAGTTAAGCGATCGAGAAAGTAAAGTAAAATGTTTTATGACAGAATTATATAATATTAATGCATGGTGTGCGATTGGAGTTGAAGTGAAAAGGTAGCAAGCTTATGGCAATATGGCATATCCCTTGGAAGATTCCTTATTTCTCAAATCTTCAACCCATAACTTCAGAGAGCTAAGAGTGTAATATAATCACATGATAAATAATTCGTAAAAACAAATCGAATATCAGGTACTTTTGTTAGCGTATAAGGGACATACTGTATGTGTATATAACTATATAGATATGTGTATATGTGTGAGTCTATAAAGAAAGCATAAAAACATCATATGAAACTCTCTCCGCACAACCAAAACATGATGGTGGTGTTGGCTCTTCTATGAAGAACCTCTCGGATTTGGAACCCGCTATTTCAACCCGCGGGTTCTCTTATTTATGTAGATAGGGCAACTCGGATCCTTTGGCATTTCCTAGATGTGGGATTGAAGAAGAAGATGTGTGTATCTTTTTCCCTTTGATAGTTCTGATCAAATTGTGTTGGTTCATAGTTTCACTTCTTCTGGTTTGTATCATTTACCTCTTGTCTCTCACTCTCTTTTTATGTGTGTGGTTTCTGTTCTAAACTTGATAATTACTACCCTATAGTTTATAAGTTGATGCTGAGTTTCTAATTTAAAGGTCTATCCAATAATATTTATTCGATTGGGATTTTAGTGCAATAGCTCTCATTAGTATCGCTACATCGTTACCACTCCAACTCGATTCAAGTTTAGAATATACTGCCTAAGAGACTTGAGAATTGTATTTCAATAATTTTGTTTTGTTTGTGTTGGATCAATTAGCTTACCTTGATAAAAGCGGATAAGGGTACTGAACAAACGTAAATCCATGATTATTTTAGTCTTGTTTTATCCGGAAACGGGAAGAATTTTTTTATATTATTCCTGTCTTAGTTTTGTTTAAAATTCAGAACAAGACCCTAAGAGCATATGCATCGCCAAAACACATCAGGTGTTCTAAGAGTATTAAATTAATAAAAGGTTTGAACAGTATAAGACAAAGTGGAATTGTGTTCCTCCCCGAGAACTGTTCTTAAAATGTTCTAAGAGTATTATGAGCACGTGTCTTTTGTGTATTAGTCCTTTTTTTTTCTTCCTTTTTTTTTTTTTCTTCTCTCTCTTCTTAATAAAATAATGTTAAGAACACAAATCAGTGTTTCAACGTTACCAATGCTCTAAGAGACCCTAAAAGTTAAAAAAAAAAAAACCTTTTTTTTTTGCACCCAACATAAGTACATAACTAATTGTGTTGTATATCAGTCAACAGAATTGTGCTGTAATGAAAAGCATGCATAAGAATATATTGATTCCGCCAATTAACTAGTTATGTTTATATTTAAATTGTTTTATTCACCAATATGAGCATAAGACTGAGAATAAGGATGTAGTTTCTCTTCTTATTATTAAAAGATAATATAGAAGTACATAAGCAAGAACAATTGGACTAAAGTGTCCATCGATACACTCATACAATCATCATATATGTTATAAATTAGTCAAGTAGATCATATATTTTTGCTCATGTGCTGGTTCTTAAGAATCTGTTTCTTCACAGATGGTGGAGATTGGTCACATTTTCTGTGACAGTCAGAACATTCCCCGGCTGATGATGAGCTTTTACAATGGGGACGACACAAAATACTGCATTCGACCTCCGATTTTGCTTCACCTCCGATCACAATCGCCGATATTATCATCACCATCATCAACATCATGCTCAAATTCTTACCCATCTTTGTTGTATATGTTTGTGTGTTTTTATTTTCTTTCTTTTTCGTTTATGTTGATCAATGGATTGAGTCTATCTTGTGAAAGTAACTCTCTATTTATAGTTTTGAAGTTGTGATGACAGTCTTATCTCCAATTAATAAAAATGAAATTCACTATTCATTTTATTTTTTGACTCCAGAAATTTTAAAGTATAATATCTAGATAGAATTATTTTATACTATAACAATACATTTCTTATAGTATATTTTAAATTTTCCTATATATTTAAGAAAATCCAGGTTATGGATTTTTCTTGTAGATTTGTTTTTAATATAAATCTTTACTGTATTTTCTATACATCTATGCAAATAATATAGGTTTCCTTTGTATGGATCTTCCTTGTAGATTTTTTTCTAAATTAAAATATTTTCTACCTATTCTAGCATGAAAATGAAACCACTATATAGTATAAATATTATAGATTTTTTTCATTATTATAGACTTATCTTATTATCATAGCATTTACTTCTAAAACAATAAATGGTATGTGGTTAATAATAAAGGGTTTGTGATATTTTGCAATTTGATATTTGAGAGGTGTCATATTTTAGTTGTAATTAGATTTAGATTTTATCATTCTTTTAACTATTGAGTCAACTAATATAGTTTCATTTTTCTTTATAAAATTTTTGAAATTTCAACCGCGCAACAAAATTCAACAAATTTGTAGAAAATATTCAGATTTATAATGTAAAACATTGTTCCTTTTGTGGTTCTCTTTTGATTTTTTTTCATTTTTCGGTTTAGGTCCCATTATCAACTTGCGATTCAACTTATGCCCATTAATTGGCAATTTCTAGACAGTTACATAACAAATTCAATTGAAATTTCTAATGCATAATCTTATAGCTTATATGTAGTTACAATGAATAAAAAAAAAAAGGATCACGCCAACATTGAAAAACATATAAATAAGATAAAGTTCAGGTATACTAGTATTTGGAAGCATTTGAGAAATATCATTGATAAACCACCAGATCCAAAAAAAAGGAAAGAAAAAATAACGTTCGTTACTAAACGAATTATCAAAATGGACCCAAAACTGTAAACAAACGCTCAATCATCCACGCTCAATTTTTCAAAAAGTTAACAGTTAATGATATTTCAAACTATGTACCAACTACGGAAAACAATACTTATCTACATGAAACTAAATTTACATAATTCTTATTTAATTAGGATATTACATGTTTTGTCTTTATTTTAGTTTTGTTTGAATCATTTATGAGTCACTAATATTTCATTAAGTTCATCTATGCTATATAATTAATCTTTGTTCATGAAATAAATGTTGGCAAAAATAGCTTCCTAGAATTAGGTTAATATTATCAATGTTTTCTATGATAAAGAGTCTTCAAAACCAAATTCAATCAACACATAAAACTATATATTTCACTATGACGATCTTGATTTCACAAATACCAACTTCTACTTGTATCTCAATCAATATTTTGACTATGATTTGTATTTATCTTTTTTCTTTTTTTTTGTCAACTACACATTGATGTTATCTTTATTAATAAAATATGTTAGTAAATTATGTTGTGTTATTTATTTGTACACATTTGAGATATGGACATAAAATCAGATAAATCGATGTATAAGTACATTTATGCACACACATATATCACATGGTTTAAATGTTATTTACTATGTTTGTATACACATGTGTGAGACATGAGCATTCACATTTATATAGACACACATATATCACTTGGTGTAAGTGTTGATAATTATTCTAAATAATTGCTAAGAAGTGCCGGAGTGTGCGGAGGTTGCTATAAGATATGGAGCTTCGAGGAAGAGGCAACGGCGGTTCGTCGTTTGACGGAGGGTTCGTGTGTCACCGTCGGGGCCGTCGACTAAAGATCGTTGTCGTTGATACGTGTATGGGCCTCGATCACATTCTATAGGCCCAATATTAAAGTCTTCTTCAATAGTTTTGGCAGATGGGCCAAGATGAATAATCCGCTCAAAACGCATAAATATCTATTTTTGGTAAGACGTTTAAATATTTATCTTTTAGTCATATTTCAATTTCTTAAACGTAAACAAATTTCTATGAAATATATGTTACCAGAAAAATAAAGGAAAATGATGAGAAATATAGACATGATTGCCAAGAAAGGGAAAATAGAAAATAAAAGTAACCAAGTAAAGGAAATATATCTATGACATTAACATTTTAGAGATTTTGTTTTTTGGAAAATAAAATTAACATTTATGTGATGGATTCTCTCCTATATAACTCTCAATGACTATGCGAAAGTGGAAACGCACACAAGTCATAAGAAAATTGAAAGAATTGAGAAGAGCGAAGGATGATGGTGTGCAAGAGTTTGGTTATGGTTCTCATATTTGTCTCTCTCTTTGGTCTTCACCAATGTAAGAATTTGTTCAAACTTTCTTATTTTTTTCCCAAACATAAAACTTAACAATAGATGTACGTATACTAAAACATGTTAGGTTCCTTTTCTTATATGTATTCTATTTTTCACATATATTATAACTATTGGTCTATTATATATATGAATTCAATTTGTTTATGAGCTAGCATTTTATGTTTGATGTATGATATTTGCAGGTGAAGATATTGATCATCCGAAGGGAATAGAAAGATGTTATAGGAGATATATGGGAAGGCCATTGACAATACAGTATTTGTGTTGTATAGAAGCTCCTCGGATTTGCTTCACACCCCTCACTCCAGAACAATGCCTCACGAAGTGTCCGCCACTGCGAAAAGGAGCACCGCCCTCTTCGTCGCCGGGGAAAGGAGTAGGGCCGTCCCCACAGCCTTCTCTATAGATGTTCATTGGTTGCTGATGTGGCGTTTCCTGTGGTTTAGTTAATGGGTCCTGAGTTTGAGAATTGTAGTAACAACAAAAAATAAAATAAAAAACGAGATTGTTTCTCTCTTTTCTTCACCAATGTAACAATTTATTCAAGCTTCTTATTTTATTTTACTTTTTCCTACAAACCAAAATTTAATAGTAGATCAGTACGTAGATGCAAAGGTTTTGCATGTTGTGTTCCTTATGAACCAAACCAAAATCTTATTCACCTTATAATTAGTCCATACGAATTCAATCTGTTGCGAAGACATAGTTACTCTTTCATTTGTTTTTTGAATAGTTACTACATGTGTTAAAGTTGACATATGAGCTAATAATGAAAATATTGTTTGATGCATGGTCAAGATGATGAACATATCCCAAGGGAATAAAAAGATGTTTTACATGATTTGTTGGAAAGCCATATAAATTGGAGGATTCGTGTTGCGTCCAAGCTCCTTGGATTTGCTTCTCTGGCTTCCTTACCAAAGAATACCTCAAGAGGTGCCCGCCTCTGCGAAAAAAGGAGAGCATCCTCTCCACCACTGAAAAAAGGACCAGCGCGCGCCGTCTCCATCACCCATGTAATCGTTGTTTTTAATTTAGGGTTATTTTTGGTTGAAAGTATGCAAGTCTCTTCGAATATTTGGTTTTAAGTTTTAACATTAGAGTCAAAAAGTAATTTTATATTTAATTATTTATTTTTTTTGTGAAAAAGTGTGATGAAAATGGAAAACAGTAAAAAAATTTCCCGCTACGTTTTTCTTTTTCAAATTTGACATTGGTCTTATATGACCATCAGACCATGCATGTTGGGGCTCTTCTTTTGTGGTTCTTTTATTTATTAGTGATTTAGTAGTTTGGGTTTGTTTGGTTTACGTATAGGTGGGTAAAAACACTCTTATATGTAGTGTGATCAGTTGTGACGATAATTTTCTTTTCATTTGATGAAAAAGTTGCATTTGGATACTTATAGCAATTTAATCTTGATTCTCTGCTCTTCTTGAAATCACGCATACGTTCGAAATTTTATTCAGAAATGTGGGCTAATTATGCGTTTCGTTTGATATATTTGTTGGAAGATGTTTTTGATTGAATGAGAGCTAATTAAACATATCATAATCAGATTAGATATATCATCTATAGTATGTCGTAGGTATCTACATCAGTATGTTTTTTTTATTCATGTGTATTCTTATATACGTTAGTAAAATTCGATAAGATCGTCTCTAATGTCTTTAGATGTAAACTCAGAGACTATGTTAGTGTGACGGAGCCATTCATCACCATCTATAAAAGAAATATCTATGAAAGAAGATGCTTCTGAATCTGTGAGTTGTTTCCCAAACAAAACTCTCTCTTTGTAATCTGCTCCCGGTCCATAGCATTTATGCTCTCCAAAAGTCACCGTCCTAAAAAATAAAACCCATACAAGACATAAATAAGATCTTTTATGTATGTTCTGAGATGTGTATGTAGTCTCTTACTTTTCTTTGTCCGGATCTCCCCAGTTATTCCATCCTTCTGGACTGATGATTCCAGACATGTAAGTGTCTGAGAACACGACAGTAGCATAGGCTCCCCAAGCTCTTCCAAGCAATATTTCCCCGCTACCAGCGATCTTACAATTCACAAAAGAGAATCCTGTCTGTTCATCTTCTGATTGTCTTCCTTGAGCTGTGATAGATCCGGTAACTCCCGAGGTATTCCCCTTTGCTATTGAATTAATTGTACAATCCTGTTTGCGATTTTAGAGTATTATGGTCATGTTTTGACAAGGTCATGAATGTGTTTTGCTTTTAACCTTGTAGAGTGATCTTCCATTGCCGAATATAAAATCTATGGACCCTTGAATGAAGCAATCTTTGAAAAAATGTCTTCCTTTATCATCTAGAAGCGTGTCTTGAGCCCCGTAGAATCCACAACCATAAAAGGCAGCTTGGTCTCCTTCAATCCTTAAAGATACTGCTTGTGCATCAGCTTCACCAGGATCTGGTTCTGGCGCATTATTCTTCCTCCATTCAAAACATATATATGTACACATGAGAACTCAAATCATTATATGTGTTAGCTAATTAGGCTTGTTAGAGTCAATTGTTGTGATCTCGATATTCTAACCTTGAAACTGATGTTGTAAGCTGTGAAGTTAGCTGCAAACACTACAAAGGAGAAGCTCTCAGCAGTGTTTCCTGCCGATTTCGCTGTGTCGTTCCATTCGATGGATGTGTTTTGATATCCTCTTCCTTGAATAACAAGGTTTGTCTTGTTTTCATTAACCGTAACTTTTTCCCTGCTTGCTTACATTGAACTCAAACATTACTATATATATATATATATATATATATATATATATCATATTACACAAAAAAAATATATATATTATCGAGCAACATTGGAGAGAGGGGAAAAAGAACAAGAGCTTGGAGTTGAAGATAGGACCTATAACAACCCGAATTAACGATGATGAGAGTCTTGGAAGGGCTTAAATCAGGGACAGCATCAATGGCGCTTTGAACATTGCTGAAGTTACCACAACCATGCAAATCAACAGTCAACACAAGAGAAGTCTTGTATTGGTGTGTAAGCCTTGACGTCCATTTCTCACAACATTTTATTGGTTCATAGTGGTGATGATGATGATGGTGATGGTGATGATGGTGGTGTTTGTGTCCATAGAATGTTGAATGTATTGCTAATGCTCCGAGTTGGGAGTTGTTTATGATATTTGTGGCTATAGAAGAGAGAGATCTAGAGGATGGAAATTGGATCGTGTAGAGAGCAAGAATGATGGATAAAAGAGCTATTAGAGTGGTTAAAACCGGTTTGATGGGCATGGTTAAGATAACCGGGGGACTGGGTTTAGTGTCTCAACTAATTAAAAGTAAAAAGAGGGCAAATGGTGTTTGGTATTTATACATGTGCGAGGAAGTGTGGCGTGAGAGTAAAGTGAAGGATATGGGCTTCGAAGACATTGTGATACTTTTTTCTTCATAAATCAGATACGTTTGGTGATTAGACATTTTCTTCTTAATTATATCAAATATCTAAAAAGACATTATATTTATGAACTACAATTTCGTGATAAAAAAAAAAAAAGTATATGTCGCTTTAGAAACTTAGAAAACAGTGAAATAAGTTTTCTCATAGGCATTTTCAATCATTTACGTTGAGACTCAATAATGGAATAAGATGATCAAATAGTTTTACAAATATCAGCCGAAAATTATGAATATTTTCGACTTTTCAAAATATTGTTTTTCTTTTCGGTTTTATGGGTTCAAAAAGTTCGAAATCTCTTTTTTTTTTTCCCTAGATACAAGTACAACGTCTGTTTTGCAAGACTTTTAAAGCTGAAATTTTGAATTTCTTTTTCTTAGAGACGATTTTATGTAAATGAAATATTATGTTTTGCTCAATAGATTATTCCTTATAGTTAAGAAACCATCTTCTAAAGAAGTACCACGGCTATCTATCTAAAAGGATAAAACAAAAACTTATAATGAAATCTAGCCAAAAGCATATTATAAATTTTATGTAACAATTAATCTATAAATTTTAGAAGAGTTTAATTTAGATATGGGTGACTTCTAGATAGATAGAAGAGTTTAATTTAGAAATGGGTGACTTGACTTCTATGATGTTGGAAAAAATAGTTGTTGAGATTATAAATTTATAAGAAAGAATTTTCAAATCAACCGACAGGCGGGCGAGTTGGGGGTACACGCCAAGATGGCTAATAATGCTTAATAAACCCATTTCGAAAGCAACTTTTACTATATTTTAATTTTGCGTTGATTAATAAGATTGTCAGTGTTTTATCTGTTTTGGTTAAAAACACTGACTCATTTACATAAAACACTGGAAGTTTGACTCGTCGAGAGATAAACATATTTCTCATTTACATAAACAACTCACTTCTCCATAAACTTCCTAACTCCAAATTTGCTATCGGTATGGTTTTATGAGAACTACATAGTTTAAATATTAAATATAACTAGAATTACTTTGAAAAAGCTTGAACAATTAACATCCTTATGTATCAGTAAACTGTATCTTCCTTCTGATCATAAACATGATTATGACTATGACTTTCTATAAACATAAAGAAGAGACTTGAGAAATGAGATCTTCTTCATTTGAATCAAGTCTCGTGCACTTAATCTAGACATCCAAACCAAATCGAACTGAAATGTGTTTGTAATCATATCTGATTGGAGATACGAGAGATCTAACTCCTTTTATCTAGATTTGGATCTCACAATACGGTAATTATATCATAGGATTATGATCTATAACTAGAGATGAGTTTAAAAGTAGGTTTGATCATCAAAACTCATTAGAAAGCAAATAATGAAAGGAATATGAAAGTTGTTTCTCTTTTTTCTTCTTCTTACCAATTTCTTACATAATCACAAAAGTAATGAAATCTCTTTTAAAAAAGCTTGTAACAAGATAAAAATTAGCTCCTAACAAGAGATCAAGAAAAATTATCAAAGTGGAAAGAAAAGGAGCTGGTCGTAATTGGAGAAGATTTAGATTACATGCACAGGGAAATCTATCACACACATGCAACCAAACACATGGTTAATTCCTAGCCATTCATTTGGTATAAAAACGATTTAAAAAAAAAAAGAGTCTAGACTGGATTTAAATTGTGATAGTTTTAATAAATTCTAATACTATTCATAAGAGGATAAACAAAGATTAAATTTTCAACTTGTAATTCCTAACGATTTATAAAATTGTCTTTTTTTTCGAAAAAAACAGACTCCCCAAACAGAAACGCAACGCAGTTGTTTTTATTGTAGAAAAAAAAAACACACACAGATTAGTAAGCGCAAATTTTCGCGATACAAATATGGGCCTTGGGCCCTATTGTTATATCTCAAAGAAATACCCATTAAAAAGGTTAATATTTACGAAAATTGCCACTGCTCTGAAGACTGTAATTTACTGCAGTTTTTCTCTATCTTCCTTCCTCCTCCCAGTGGCTGCAAAATCCTAAATCCCAACCCAAAAGGATTTTGTTTCATCTTCTTCTTCCTCCAGATCCATGTATGAAACCTCCCCTGAACCCTAATTTAGC